AGCAGAGTGTCGGCCTCAGCAAGCAGTCAGCAACAATCGCAGACATCCGAAACCGCTTGTGGTAAAAGGCATTCTGTAAAGTAAGCGGCCCACACGGATGCAAATGGTAGTCTTGGGAGAGGGATTTAAATCCTGGGGCGCTTCAAAGCTCTTAGAACATGTCAAAGACAAATAGGAAGGAAGTTCCACTTTTTTATGGAAATGAAGTGAAGAAGTGGAGGAGAACGACAGTTGCGTTATAATATGTGAAGTGACTACGGCAAGTGACGAGCCAAAGGACAGCTTCTTAGGAAAAGCCCAAGCCAAGACTGAGCCTCGCTGGCCTATTTACACCAGAGCCTGGGAGCAGCCAACGCTATTTCTACGGTAAATTTATGTGACATGCTCTCAGTTGTGTGTCGGGACCAGTTGCATGAGCCCCTTCCCTACTAGACCGCCCTGAATCACAGCCTGATGGGTGACAGCATGGGCTTTGCAGGCAAATTGCTGTGTGACCTTAGATGAACCATTTTAGTTCTCTGGGGCTCAGGTGCACTCACTATAAAACAGGGAAAAGATAGTCTATTATTGTTCTTTAAAGAGCTACTACACATCCCAGGCACCAGGCCGGCCCTAAGATGCATATATTCTTAACCTCAGACACAGATGCATTTAGAAATTTAAATGATAGGTTGCACTGAACTTACTCTCGTATATACATATGCACCTCCCAAATGCCATTTGCCCTCTGGAATTTCCCACGGAGTGCCCTTCATTCTCATTTTCCTGTATCCCAATGCTACCAAGGTCAGTAAGAAGTTATCCGTCCCTCTGTCCCTATAACACCTTACCTGGAATCTCCCTTCTGGATCTGATCATTTATCTTACTACCAGAGGCCCAGTGCACAAAATTCATGCACTTGGAGGGGGCGGAATCTCTCAGCCTGGCCTGCGCCCTCTCGCAGTTCAGGAGTCCTCGGGGGATGTCTGACTGATGGCTTAGACCTGAGTGGCCTAAGCTGGCAGTCAGACATCCTTAGCACTGCTGTGAAGGCGGGAGAGGCTCCTGCCACCGCCGCTGCACTCGCCAGCCGTGAGCCCAGCTCAGGGCTTCTGGCTGTGCGGTGCTCCCCCTGTGGGAGTGCACTGACCACCAGGGGGCAGCTCCTGCATTGAGCCTCTGCCCCCTGGTGGTCAATGTGCATCATAGCGACCGGTCGTTCCACTGTTTGGTCGATTTGCATATTAGGCTTTTATTATATAGGATATCTTCCTAGGCTTTGAATGAATAGTCATAAAATCACAATATATTAACCACTCCCATAACAATGACTTACTGAGCTCTAACTCTTCCCAAAGGACTGAGGAGGTGCTCTGAGAAATGGAATATTACAGGACCTGTCCCCCACCTTGAAGAATGAGACATTCCAGGAGGGTACCACATAAAGAACTTCAGAGCATCTATCTATCCATCCATCCATCCGCATTCAGTATGCACTAAGGGCCTCCTGCTGTAACTGGGCAGGAGAACTCAGGGTGACATGGCTGCTTGCCTCAGGCAGGGATCATGGGGAGGGCTACAGTGGAAAGGCCAGGATTTCAGGGAGACCTGGAAAAGGAGGTAAGGTTACCACAGGGCTAGAGAAGGTCAAGGGGTCTTTTAGGTGTGCAGAACAGTAAAAGGGGAGAAAAGTCCAAAAATTCAAGGGGCTGCATCTGCTTAAGTCTGGCTGGAGTCAGTGTGTGAGAAGGTGGAATTGGTGGCGATGAAGTCGCACCGGAAGGTTGAGGGCTCTCAGCAGCCTGCAATGCTGAGTGGCCTGGATATCCGGAACAGTCCGCAAGGCACCATGGGAGGCTCTGAGAGCAGGTGACAAGATCAAGGAGCACTCACTTGGCAGTGGTTGGCAGAGCAGATTGGAAGGATGTGAGAGACTGTTTTCATACCCCTATGGAGGGCAGCCAGCGTCATGAGGAACGCAAACGGTGGGTATGAAGGACACGTATGTCCTTCAACCTCAGGAAACATCTTAGACAAAGGGTGCTCCACGCAATTTAAATGCCTAACGCCTGGAAATAAGAACTGCGTGATACACTGTGTTAAATCATTGTTAGAATCATTGACTATCGGAGCCAAAGGAAACCTAGAAAGCGTGTAATTCTAACTCATTTTATAGGGAAGCAAGTGGGTTCAAAGAATGAAGTGATTTGTTAAAAGTTTGCAAAGATACTGAGTTCCCGGGGGGAGATACTAAAACCCAGTGTCCTCCATCCCAGGGTGCCCGGGGGCACCCCCTACGAATAGTGTTTGGTTTTAACTGTTTCGCTAAGGCAGCCCTGATGCATTCCGTAGTCTTTGCTTACACATTGGAGGCCGTCTGTCTCCGCGGCTCTCCTCCACGGCCCCTTACAATCATGGTCCTCTCTGGCTGCTTGCACCATCCGCTGGCTGAGCTGCCACTTCCTGTAAAAGCATCCTGCTGGCATCACCTTTCCCTCACACTGCGCCTGCACTGGACAGTCCACCCGAGTTCCAGAACAAAGCCCGTTATTTTCCCCGCAACTGGTTCTCAACCTTCTGGCCCTTTAAATACAGTTCCTAATTTGTGACCCAACCATAAAATTATTTTCGTTGCTACTTCGTAACTGTAATGTTGCTACTGTTATGAATCATCATGTAAATATCTGATATGCAGGATGGTCTTAGGCAACCCCTGTGAAAGGGTCGTTCGACCACCAAAGGGGTCGCGACCCACAGGTTGAGAACCACTGCTTTATAGCATGGTTTTCATATTCAATTTTAAACTTTGTTTAGACTATGACATTCAAAATGTTTATGTTAAGAATAACTGAAGAGCTACCTGTATGGGATTTATTTCTTTCAGCTGGAATATAGGGGAGGGGGCGGGGCGAGAGAGACCCGTGTTTCCCAGGCACACACTTGAGAATACTGAATCAACAAAGAATGATGAGGGGAAGCAAACGCTAAAAAAATCTCAAAAAGTGTATCAGAAATATTTAACCCCACCACCAAGTCACATTTTCAGTGCGAAGAGAGAGATACAGCCCCTTACACTTTTATTCCACCTTCACATTCCTAGGTTTTGTAAAATAGGGAAGTGTAAAATGCTTACAAAACAGCACCACACCCAGAACACAGGGAATCACCCTTTATTTCCTGTAAAAGTGGGTTAAATTTTTGTAACTTGGTGTGAATAAAGCTCAGTGGGAAAAGCTTTGTAGGGAAGCCAGCAAAACCGTTTTTCCTTAAGAACAAAAGAATTCGTTACCACTAGTCACTTGTAGAGGTGCTGTATCTTAATATGCTTTTCTTGCAAGAAATGGATCTTGTCAGACGGCACAAATAGACATCTCGCAGGAAAACTCTCCACGAGCTGACTTCAGAAATGAACTCTCAGAATAAGACAGAAAGGCAAAGGGGGCAAAGCCAGTATTAATATTTATTTGCTGACGCTCAGCCACAGGGAGACATTGAAGCCGTCCTATTTCTGCGGTTTAGCGGGGCTCGGCACACAAATGGTTGCTTCTCAATAGAAGTCTGACAAGGAAAACTGTTCACTATCGTGATGGAACTGAATTCCAAAACAGCCATGCTCAAATAACCCTAGAAACTGTTAACGTTACATTCTCAGCTCTAAAGAACAACGCTTTAATGGGCATTCAAAGAACAGTTATTATTCTGCAGTATTAAGCAATTTTTTTGTCATAAAAGTGCTTTATCTATTGGGATTTTTTCCCCCAGATATCACACATGTTAGAAATGATGTACTTTCTTTCTTTCCTTCTCTCTCTCCTTCTTCCTTCTCCTTTTCTTTCATTGTTTAAAGGGGAAGTTGGCAATATTCCATTTGGAATATTATCATAACAAAATGTTTTTTTAAACAAAGTTTGATTTTAACAGAACTAGAGGCATCTTGACACTAGCCTAAAACTTTGGGAGGTTCATCAACCTCCAGAATTTTTTTTTCCCCAAAAGCAGGCTGTTCAAGTGGTGTTTTTCTCCATCTGTTATCATACCGTGCTCGGAATTACATGCTCATATTTAATGGAAAAGGGATCAGTCCCCTTTCATAATTTAAATTCAACATTTTACTATGATTAGAAGACCAGTGTTTTTCTGAACGGTGAGCCAAACCAACGATTCTAAATCGACATGTGTATTTAGACAAAGTTCTCCCTAAAAGCCGAAAAACTCCCCAAACTGAATAAACTCAAAGGCTTGACCTGAAAATTGAAAATTATACTAAAACTGAAAGTGAGAAGAAACCACTTACAGGATAACGAGAAATATCTCCGGTCACAGTGCGAATTTTCCTCTGCTGTATTTCTGCGTCTGCGTGTGTGTTTTCAACATAGCAAATCACACAATGTTTGCTACCAAAAATACCTTGTTGTAATTTGGGGCTGAGTTTATGTGTTTACTGAAGTTTTATGACAATGATACTCATATCGCAATACCCCCTGACAGAAACAATAGGCTGGGAGACCAGGATGGTGTGAGCCTGGTTATAACAATGCTTTAAATGTGAACAGTGCAATCAATTTCATGTCAAAATCTTACACCTCCTTAGGACCCAGGGTCCTTGTTAGTAGCAGTTCCATCTCCATTTGCATCTCAGGATGCCTTTTATTTTGCCTCTTGAACCATGTCAGTGTCTGATCCCTTCCCTGCATATATTCCTGGGTTCCTTCAGCGCAGCATTTGTATTAGACACAGGGTTAACACGCGAGGTGGTGGTAGGAGAAATATGTCATGTTGCTTGTATTGATGGAGAATCGCCTAAATATTTGAGCATCTTTGGGGACAGATCAGTAACTCCCTGCCACACTCATCACTCACATGTCGGCGTGTTTTGCTTCTCTGCCTGAGAGCTGTGTGTGAACGGGATGCCTGAGACTAACTCCAACAACTGCTTGGAAGCCTGTGGCAACCGCCGGTGGGCTGAAATGGGGCCACGGTGGGGAGGGGGGCCAGGGGGTGCGGGACGGGATCGGGGTACCTGGTGAGGTGCAGCTGGCGCTCGGCCTCGGCCAGCCGCTCTGTCAATGTCAGGAGCTCCTCGCCGGCCCCCGCCGCCTTCTGCTGCTCCCGCTCCACGTGCTGCCTGCTCTCCCTCAGCTCCAGCGTCAGTCTCTCTATTTCCTTAGGTAGACAGGCAGGGAGAAGGCATCCGGTCAGACCAGGCGCTGGGAGGCAAAACTGCCTCGTTTTGGTTTTTGCCATGAATGTAATGTGATAAGGAATTATTAGGAGATGTAGGCTAGCGTCCATTTGATGACAAAGGGAACTAGCAAAGCCAAAAATGCACATTAGTGAGGGGTTGTGCTTTTTTTCTTGGATCGTAAGATGAAGTCTGATTTTAAAGATGAAACGATGAAATGAGAGTAGTCAATATGGGTAATCTGTACTTTCATTCGAAGGCTCAGTCGCTTTAAAAATAATCTGAATTTAAACTGTCACTGCTTTTACAATGTAACATTTCTGTTTGTGAGTGTACATCAGACACATGCCAGGATTACCGTCAAACATGTGGCTCCCTCCTGAAAGATACATTTATGGTTTTTATTTGGCTATTCTGAAAACCAGATTAATGGGTAATATCATTTAAGATATCTTTTAGAAAAATGTAAGGTGTAAAAGGAGGTATCATGACGATGATAAATATTATTTAGAAAAAAAAATGATTTAGGAGAAAAACCTTTAAGCATTTAGAGTGTATGAGATTTCTGAGCTAAAATAATATTACATTGAAATTGTTTTATAAAAAAGCAACAGCAAAAGTACTCTCAGTTCATAAATATGAACATCTGAAATATGTGAACATTTATGCTGGCTAATTTCTTAGTCTTAGGGTGAAATTATCTTTATCTTGCTAAAATGCAAATATTTCAAAGCAAAAATGCATACATAGAACATAGTTTTAAATAATTTATACGTTACAGTAGAAATATTTATTTATTATAGAACACCTATAAAAAATTTTTAAAGCTATAAATATTCATGCTATTAAAACAAGAAGAAAAAAGGGAGAAACATTTTCAAATTCAACAGAAAGGAAGAAACAATTTTTAAAAATGCAACCCCCTTTTAAAAAACAAACCCTGCCCAAGCAGATAGTTTTAAACTTCATATTTAAGTACATGTCCAATTTTCTCACATCATTACTTAGTATTCAGAACAATTTCCAACTATATTTAATACATCAGGCAAGAAAAACTAAATAGCTCTTTCTTAACATTTATTTCACTATAAGTATTCATATTTTGATGAGTTTACCCTCATCAAAACCACATATTACTAACAATATAATAAAACAGCTTCTTACAAGTACTCAAATATTGTTTGAACTTTGAAAAGCTATGTAATAATGAGTATATCATTTTTCATTTGGAGTACATTTTCTATATTTTTCAGATTAGAATACTAATAAAACCTATTTGTTTCTTTTGAAAATATTTTGAACTGTTTGAATTATACCAATATATTTCATCTCATAATTAAATAGATGAAAAAACATAACAGAAAAATCTTTTGTTTTGTCTAACATTGTGAAATAAACAAAAGCAAAGAAATACAAAATTCAAATTATATATTGACTTTAAAACTTTAAAAATCCATTTGTTCATTTTTTTTTTTACACAGTGCTACACACAAGACACTGTACTATGTTGAACTCAGTTCCCATCTCTTCTAAACCCAGAACTTAACTATTCAGTTGGGTAAAAATGAGACACACACACACACACACACACACACACACACACACAGACTAATAAAATGCAAAGCATATAACAAATAAAAACAAAAGGGTATTAGAGAAAAATCTGTGTTTTAAAAGGCCAGATTAGGAAAATATTAGGATGGGCAAGAAAGTGGGAATGCAGGTCAGGGCGCATGAACCTGTGGGATGATAGATTAGACCACATTATGAAAGGCCTTGAATTCTAGATTAATAAAACCGTATTTTTTTCTGCTTCTCTCATATTGAATTCCTGTTTAAACCATTCACATCTCCTCATTATAGATAAGAAAAATACAATTTTATTAATTTACTGGTAGAATTCAAGAGATGTGAGTGGTTTAAACAAGTATGCAATATGAGAGAGACTGAGCTGAAAAAATAAACGGGATCAATGTGTCCGATAGTGTAAGATGGCAGAGACCACCAGCGGGGAGTTCACACACAGTTGCAATATTCCAGGCAGGAGGAGTAGAGACATATTCAAATATACCTTAAAAAACAGAAATATAAAGAGAACATGTGAGTTTATGGAAATTAAAGGAGAGCTATCAGGAGACATCAAAAATGACTCCAGAATTTTGAACTGAAAGGATCCAAAAAAGAATGACAGAACCGAAAATGTGTAAAATTCCAAACTCTCTTAGAAAGAAAAGATGCAATGATTTTTACAAGCCATATACAAAAACAACATAGGACGCCTCATGATGATCATGAGGTTTTCAGGATAAATCATCTGCTTCTTAATCTTATGCAATAAGAACTCAGAGGCTGCCCTGGGAGCCATGCAAACATCGGCATCAAGACGGCAGACCCAAGAGTCAACGCACATCAGGGTTGCAGACCCAGCTCTGGCTCCTTCCAGCTCAGTGACCATGGACACATGGCTCAGTTTCCTCAGCCTGAAATGGGAGTGAAAACTGCAGCGTGTTCCTAAAACTACTGCGAAGATCAAATCAGATGCTGAGTCCTTAGCAAGTGTCTGGCACGAAGTAAGAGCTGAATTAAAGATGGCAGGCATCATTATCATTTCTGATTTCTCCTCCATCTTTCAAGAGCAGCAAAGACACACACACACACACACACACACACACACACACACACACACACAGACAATTAAATACAAAGCATATAAAACACAACAAATGAGTATTAGGGAAATCTGTGTTTTAAAAGACCAATTAAAAATATATTAGCATGGGCAAGAAAGTGGGAAAGCAGATAAGGGCCCATAAACTCAAGGAATGCTAGATCAGACCACATTATGAAAGGTCTTGAATTCTAGATTAATAAAATTGTATTTTCCTTATCTATAATGAGGAGATGTGAATGGTTTAAACAGGAATGCAGTATGAGAGAAGTAGAAAAAATGACCTGCCTAAAGATATATGGTTATCACTGAGGACTAACAAGTTCTTGCTTTCATTCAATAACGTTTCCCCCATAAAGCACTGTTTCGATGAAACCTGAATAAAACTTTATTATCATTTCCAACTGCAAAAAGCATTTCTGTGAGGAAGATGGAAAGTCACTGCCTGCTCCTGGTGATCTGTGCCAGAAAAAGAGCTTATTGGTGCAGATCAGCAAAACCAACAAGTAATCCCACCAGCTGGACCGGGGCTCGGCACCTACGCCCTGACTTGGGAAAATCTGCCATGGCACCAACTCCGACAGTTAGCAGTCTCTTGCCAGAGACGCCATGTGCCCACTGGCAGGGTAACCCTCCGCCTCACCCAACTAGGTCAGGGCTGCTGCCTTGGCTGTAAGCAGCAGCTCAGGGACGAAAGGCCCAGAACAGTCAAAGGCCAATTGCACGCTACTCTTAAAGTGCACCACTCACCCGCAGTGTCTACAATGCCGGGTAATGTGGCCGTCCTTGCCCAACTGGGCAAAGACAAGGCCAGATTGCTTTACACTTTACCCAAAGGTACAGCACACTTCAAGCCATGAATGCAGCCACCAGAACCACGGGGGAGACACCCAAGGACAGGAGATGGAGGAGGGAGGACTCGTCACTGTTCATGTATGATCTATAGTATAGAATAGATCATATAGATCACTTCCTATGGTATAGATCAGTGATGGCGAACCTTTTGAGCTCGGCGTGTCAGCATTTTGAAAAACCCTAACTTAACTCTGGTGCCGTGTCACATATAGAAATTTTTTGAGATTTGCAACCATAGTATAAAAAAAACATTTATATTTTTGATATTTACTTTATATATTTAAATGCCATTTAACAAAGAAAATCAACCAAAAAAATGAGTTCGCGTGTCACCTCTGACATGCGTGTCATAGGTTCGCCATCACTGATCTATACCATAGGAAGTGTTTTTCTTAATCAGGGACATATAACTTTTATTTTTATAATTAAATTTTCTGATCAAAGTAATATGACTAATTTGTGTCAAATAGCACTCAATTGCTCAAAACAAAGAAGGGTAGTACCCATGCTACCCCTTACCCATCCCCAAGCCTGATTTTCAAAGGCACACACTATCCACTCTTCTGGTATTTTCATATTTTTCAGCGACATAGTTGTAATGCTATTTCTTGATTTTTGCAGTATTAGACATTTTTTATTGACTCTCTGTGATAAAATAGGTCATGATTTACATCTCTTATACCACCCACCCAATATCCCCTCCTCACCTTCCCATGTAACAATTTTGGTTAAATCATTAATCAGTAGTCCATTTACATTATAATGACTACAGAAATAAATTTCACTATGGAGACAAGAATTATTTTGCTCAAATTAATTTTCTTGTACAATAATCTATTATTTCTAAAATTAATTGCCAAGTTATTAATAGTTTATTTTTCTAGGTAACTGACGTCCCCCTGCCCACAAATGATCAAACAGATCTGTCAAGTGCCTGTCAATAATAGTTTTCCAAATAATGGGACACATCAGATAAATGATCAGTTCCTCTTAAATTTTTTCCTTGATATATATATCCTTTTTGGTTTCTTAGGCCTGGCCTGGTTGGTCGCTTTATTGGGCCAATCCTTACCCATGCTCTTATGAGAGTTCCCTGTTTTCTGGTTGTAAGTCATCCTGCTTTTAGATTTATTCTCTTTTTGTCAGAAGTTTATTCTCCAGGTAACTTTCATAAGAAAAGATATATGAATAATACATTTTTAAAGTACCTGAAAATGCTGTTATTATATGCATACACTTGTTAGTTTGGCTGGGTATCAAAGTCTATGTTGAAATTAAATTTCATTCAGGATTTTTTAAGGGGCTACTCCACTGTCTTCAAGATTCTGATATCACAACTGAAAACCCCTATGCCAGTGATGGCGAACCTTTTGAGCTCGGCGTGTCAGCATTTTGAAAAACCCTAACTTAACTCTGGTGCCGTGTCACATATAGAAATTTTTTGATATTTGCAACGAT